TTGTTATTTGCCTTGCTTTGTGATCTTGGCAATTCTTGTTATTATTACTCTCTTCTTGGTGATAAGAGTAATTGTTATTTATAATACCCTGCTTCGTGATCTCGGTATTATAGTTACTTAATAATTAACCCTGCTTTGTAATCTAGGTTAAGTTATTAAGTTCTTCGTGAATTTATTTAATTTCTTGATGAAACTTTGTTGTCTTTGTAACTTAGCTAGTAAATCCCTTATAAAACCTCACACCTTAGTCTCTTTTGACCAAATTCACCTTACCCAAATCCTTCTTATCATTACTTTATTCATAGTAATACCCGTCCAACTGTAGTTAATTGTTATAGTGTTTAAAGTCTATAAATACAATTTCCACTACCAGTCGCTTAATTTTCTTTGGTTTTTTTAGAAGGTAAACCAAGGTTAACAGCATGAAGAAAATTATAATAAGTAAAGTTTTAAAGAAGTGGGAAAATAGTTTAGAAATAAAATTTGATCACAAGTTTTTATGTAATATCTAATATAATTATAGAAATAAAATTAATTTTTATAGAAAATAGCTTTTAAATAGTATATAGCACTTGTAATATAAGATCCTACTAATAGAAAAGCTTATAAACGATCAAATGGTAATTAGATAGTAACTGATTATTCCACTAGTTTCCATGTTTTGGATTTACATGCTGAAACAAAAGTATATAATTTTACAACTGATATTTTTAAAGATATAAAAATTACAGAAGAAAAGAATTACAATGTAGGTTATTTTTTTTAACGTAATAAAGAAATAGAATATTCATTAATACCATTATTACCTGAATTATACATGTTCCCAAAATTGATTTTGGATTTTTGAAGTATTTCAACTTTTTGAGATTTATACAAAATCTATTCTATATATAGATATAAAAAAAGTACCCAGTTATGTGTATATCAATCAAAGAATAAATCTGGGTGGTTAAAAAATTTCAAGTTTTAAGTAAAATAATTTCATCTTCTATAAAAAACTATTTTGACTTTTTTTCCCGAAATTGCAATTTCAGAGCTTTAAAATAATTTTGCACACAAGTATAACCTAGATATACTGTTTATACATCTGTGGATAATAAAAAAATTTAAATTATCAATTTTAGAAAATAATAATCAATTATTATTTTTTTGGGAAGAATATGGTTCACTGATCGAAAATTGATAAATAATACACATATCGGGTACCTGATATGTACATGGTACGTCCCTAATATTGGATATATATCGGGTACCCGATATGTGTAGAAAATATTTTATATATATATCGGGTATCCAATAAGTGTAAAAAATATTTTCTACACATATCGGGTATCTGATATATGTCTGATATTAGAGACGTACCATGTACATATCGGGTATTCGATATGTGTATTATTTATTAATTTTTGATCAGTGGTTGTGACGCATCCTATATTGAAAAAAAAGCACAAGGTTCTGAACGAATGGTATTTCATTACATGTTAAAAAAATATGGACTTGATTCTAACAATTCTATACTTTCAATTCTTGATCTTAATATTCCTGAAATAATTAAAAATTTACAACAACTTGTTTTCAATAAATTTCCATTTATTTTTCAAAATCAAAATTTTTTATTTGAAAATTCAAAATTAATAAATGCAAAAAAAAAGGAGAGACATTACGTCGTAATATAAAATGAGAAACAAAAAAAAATTGATTTAATAATTAATGAAAATGATAATGGAACTAACAATAATATTATTTATGGAATTAATGTTGAATCTAATGAAAAAATATTATCACCAAAAGAAACGCAAGTTTTAATATTAAAAAATATAGAACACAAATAAATAATTTATTCCAAAAATAAGACTATTAAAACTCTTCAAAAAAAAGTTACTTCAGCTAAAAAAAAAAAATATTGAAATAATTACATAAAATAATCTTGAAATTCAAAAATTAGTAAAAAAAGAAATCAAAGAAAATAAACTTGGATTAATTATTTTTATAAGTACAAAATATTACCTTTCTATTTTTCTTTTATTGCCATGTTCTAACTGTTCAGATTTAAAAGTATCAAATTGAAAGTTTTATACTAAAGTAATAGGATTTAGTATTACTTGTTTTATTAAATGTCTTCGTTACAAAATATCAACACAATATTCAAATGAAGATTTGGGAGTAAACTTTTTATATTTAGTTTCAGGAGCTACACTTGCTGGAGGTATAAATAGAAATTCATTTCAAACTGCATTAGTTACAATAGATATTACAAATCAATGTAGCAAACCATCTTATTACAATTATCAAACTCACCTGTATAAACCTATAATAGATGATGCAAAACTTAGTTGTGAAATAATTTTATTAGAAATTCTTGATCAATTAAAAATAATTAATTCACCAGATAAAGAAAAAATATTACCTATAGGCTTCAACTGTTCATAGTCTCATTTACGTAATGCTTATCAAGCTAGTGGAGAATTTATATATTAGGAGATCTTCTTGATATAAAAATAATAATTTTTTTATTATTAGTTTATAAAAATAATAATAAAGTTATTTATTATTAGGATATAAAAATAATAATAAAGTTATTTATTATTAGAATATAATTATTAACCTTTAATTAGATTTCATATAGTGGAGTATTCTCATTTATCAAAACTTATAGATAGTAATTCTTCAATAATATTACATAATGGAAATTTTAGTGGAACTTCAAAACAAATGGAATATGCAATTTTACTTGAATTATTAAATAATATAATGCCCATATTAGAAGAAACTGATTTTACCTTACATATTTGCATTGATAGTGACCTTGAAACCAATAGAACCTTGACATATATTCCTGCAGTAAGCCATATATTTGTGGATCTAAAACATATTAGTAAAAATATTCAAAAGAATTTATGTAAATATTATATTTGTATATGTTTTTATTTTTTAATAAAAAATAAAGTTCTAAAAATTAATATTGTATATATTTTTATTTATAGTAAAAAAAAATATTCACAATGGCATTCTTTTGAACAACACATCATGTATTATTTCAATTCATGTATATTTGTTACTGGAATTCAAAAAAAAAAATAATCAAAATAATGTATCAAGTGAAGAAGAAATATAACATATACAAGTAGAAGGTTTAATTCAGCATTTACTTGGTAATTATAATTTATGTTGGAGTGATATATGTTGGATAAAAGATAATCTAGAGTTACAATTACAAAAACCAATTTTAAAAAACTATACACAAACTGAAATAAATAATTTTAAAAATATTTTAACTACAATTTTTCATATACTATTTGATCAAGGACTTGTGACAACATTTCGTACATCCTATAATGAGGCGTTCAATAGAAAAATTCTAAAATATTTAGATAAAAGAATTGATTATTGGGTTTCATATTGTATACGACATGCATTAGTAATAATTGATCAAAATAATGGATTAGATACAATGATATCTAAAGTTTATATGGTAGCAGTAAGAACAGAATTTTCCTATATTGATATAAATAATACTAAAATTTGTTCAAGAAAGATCTCAACAAGTTATTAGAAATCGAAATGCAATTTTATAACGAAATGAAGTAAGAAAAATAAAATTTGCAAATGAAAAAGAAGAACTTGCTGATTTTGATTTTGATAAGGTAGATTTATAATTTTTAGAATTTTTTATTTTTATTTTCTATATTTTAATTTACATTATATTTTTTATTATAGGAATTAGTATCTTATAGAAGCAAAATGATTGATCAAATTCATGAAAATATCTTTTGGCCATCATTTGGTAATCTTTTGATAGATTTCGGTATTATTGTAAAATGTATTATATGCCATGCATTTGCAAAAAAAAGTTCATATGGATTATGTGAAGTTTGTTCATTTTATGTAGATGCAGGTTTGTAGGAGCAAATTATCGATAAACAATATGTACCTAAAGAACAATGGTCAGATCTTGAAAAAGAAACACTTGTTTTACTTGCTGTTTCTAAAATATTTGGGTTTAAAGAATTTCGAGATGGTCAAAAAGAATCTATTATCGCATATTTGAATGGAAATGATACATTTGTATCAATGAAAACTGGTGGAGGAAAAACTTTGTGCTATGCTTTGTTAGCTATTTGTTTTGAAGGATTGACTATTGTTTTTAGTTCTCTCAAAGTACTCATGAAAGATCAAAAAGTAAGATTTATTTTAAAATTCATTTATATTTTTATTATTATATTATTTATAATTTTTTTTTATTTAGAGAGAATTAATAAAAGCGAATATTCCATAAGCCACCTTTTATGCTAATTTAGTACAAGATATCAGCGCACAAGAAAAAATTTTTAAAGAAATAGCATGTGGATTGATAAAAGTATTATTTATAACATCCGAAAAACTTGTATCAAATGAAAGATTTTGCAGATTTATTACATGACTTTACAATCAAAAAAAAGTTCACTTTGTAATTGATGAAGCATACTGTGTTATATCTTATCAAGATTTTAAGTAAATACTTTATAATAAATATAATAATAAATATTTTATGAATTAATTTTTTTTATATATTAATAGAAAAGCTTGGG